CCGGCTGTGTGATCTTGGGGAAGTTACTTAACCTCTCAGCATGGTCTTCAAAGAGCTGTGGAGAAAATTGACTGAGTTCATGCGTGGAAAAGGGCTTGGAATGGCCCCTGGCACTTAGTAAGCACTCCAAAAATAGTATGAAAGAGATGAATTATTTATGAGGTGTGTGTGAGATTTATCATTACCAAAATGTTTTGGAGTAAATGCTGTGACCCTCGCTGTCCACGTTCAGAGTCCTGAAGCTTGGGAGTGAGGAGGCTGAGATCTGAACAAAGACGGTCTCGACTCCCTACTGTTTGCCCTGTGGGAAGCCAGGGTGACGGCGACGGGGTCACCTTCCCCCTGTGAGGAACAAAACCGCTCTTCCCTTGCAGGTTTGCATCTCTATTTACCGAGCTGGAACTGAGGCAGACGGAGCTGGGGATTGCCAGCTTCGGGGCTGCGGTCTCCACCATGGAGGAGGTCTTCATTCAGTAAGCAGGGGTGAAACTGCAGACCCCAAGGGTCCTTACAGTTGGAGGGGTGCTGAGGGTCATGCATCTGAGCCCTATCCAGTGCTTGGCTCCGACTCAGGGCGCCCGCACCCTCGCAGGACGGCCTGCCAGCCTCTGACCAGGACTTCCAGTAATAAGGATACTGCTCAACAGAGAAAGTGGTGAATACAGTATCCCTTTCCAGGAGGCACAACAAACCAAACAGGCATTGTATCACCTGGGATGCTGGTGACTGTGAGTAACAGATGACCCGGGACTCAGCTGGTTTAAACAATGGGGAAGGCTTACCACCTCCAGCTCCGGGATGGGCTATGTGAGTGTCCAGAAGCAGGGAGGCCGCAATGGGGAGCTCTAGATGAGCCACCCCGAAGGCCAAACAAGGCCGGAGAGTGACGATCCAGTCTGGCAATATCTGTTACCTGCAATATGCAGGCTGTTTACAAGTGTTATTAATGATACATTAAAATGCATATTTTATTTTATATTTTCTAGTAGTCTATTTGGCTTTTTCTCTCCTTTTTTGGGTTATTTTTCCTCATTCTATATTTTCCTCCCCCACGCTAGTGGGAAATTCTACGTTCCTACTGTATTACATTAGTGGTCGGCTTGGATATTGAGACACACCTATGTAATTTGTCAAAGTGCCGAGCGAAGGAATATCTTTACTCTGCTCCTGGAAAAATGCTGAGACCTTGGGACACACACACATCACACCATCACCAACGTGTATGTAATGTATATTTTAATTCTCTCTTTTTTCAACTCCACAAAACCGTCTTATTGTTGTTTGAGAACTCCAGTGGTCGCTTAAACTCCTGTGCATATACACCTGTCTCTGGGCTCACTCCTCTTCTCCGATAACTGTCCTCCTGCCCACAGGATGTTCTTCACAGCCCCCGTTTGTGTTCTTATGCAGGAGCCAAACACATTTGTGTTTTTTTTTTGTTTTGGGGGTTTTGGTTTGTTTTTGGTCTGGAAATGATTTTAGTTCCCTAATTTTTGAAGGATATTGTCACCAGATTGAAAGTTGTTTTCCATCAATGTGCTGAAGATTCGATTTCCCAGTCCCCACTCTTGTTTTGCTGAAAGTGAGCTGTAGGTTTACTGCTTGTTCCTATGAAAGAAATCTGGCCACTCTTTGCTTCGGATGTTACACACCTTAACCATGGTGTGTTTCGGTTCGGTTTTCTTTTTAATTATGCTGCTTCACATCTGATGGACTTCCGGCCCCCGATGGAATGCCCTGCCTGAGTCCAGCCGCTGCGCACTCCCACAGTTTCTGCTGCTCAGTGCTCTCTCACCCTAGGGCGGGTATTAGATCTTCTCGTTTTCTGTGCTGAGTCTTCTCTGCTTTTTCACCTTTTCCAGCCCTCTGCCTCCCAGAGCCGCATGCTGGATAATATCCTCTGATACATCATCCAGGTCTCTTCTCTCTTCAGCTGGGTCCTCAGTTCAACACTGCCACTGAGTTCTCTTTAACAATTACGTTTTCATCGAAGTATAAAAGACGTACCAAAAAGCGCACAAATATCGGGCCTACAGCTCGGTTTTATTACTGAGTTCTTACCTATTCTGGATACAAGTCCTTTGTCAGGTACATGTTCTGCCCAGCCTGCAGCTTCCCTCTTCCTATTCTCAGAGCCCACCCTTAGGTCACAAAGTCCTTCTGCTACGTTTTCTTCAGGAACTTGACCATTTTAGTTTCTGCATTAGATCTGTGACCCACCTGGTATTAACTTTTGTGTACAGTGTGATAAGAGGCTGAGGTTCATTTCGTTGCACGTGCGTATCCAGTCATGATGGGACTATTTGGGGGAGAGACTTCCTTCCACACCGAATTGTTTGGACGCCTTCACCAAAAATCAACCGACTGTGTATGTCAATTTCTACATCCCCTACTCTGCTCCACGGAACTAGCTGTCTGTCCCACGCCAGTTCCACGCCACCGTAATTGCTGGCGGTTTGGGGGACGTCTTGAAGTCAGGGAGTAGATGGTTCCTCCAGGTCTATTTTTTGAAGATTGTTTTGGCCTTCCCAGATCGTTTGTGTTAACATGTAAATTTAAATATAAGCTCATCAGTCTCTGTTTTGAAAAAAAGACCTTGCTGGAACACTGGTTCATGGATTACAACAGGTAACCCCAGACGAATGCAAGCTCTTCACAATAGGGAAAACGGGGTGAGCAGGGATAGAATAAATACAAGGGAACTCTGGGCTTTCTGCTCAGTTTTTCTATAAACCTAAAACTGTCTAAACTTATAGTCTGTTTTTTTAACCTGCTGGGAATATGACTGGTACTAAGTTGAGTCTACAGATTAATTTGGGGAGAATGGACATCTTTCAAATATTCATCCTCCCAACCCATAGGTATTACACATAGCTTCGTTTTTTTGGGAGGTCATTTCTAATTTTTATCAGCTGTGTTTTGCAGTTTCCAGAAGTTCTGCATATCTTTTGTGTAACTGACTCTTAAGTATTTCATAGTTTTTGAAGGTAGGGAAATGGATTCCTAAATTTCGTTTCCAATCACTTCTTGCAGGTCTAGAAATCATTTTTGTATTATTTATATCTAGAGATATTATTTGACTCACTTATTAGTTCAAACAGTTTGGGGTTGATTTTCTTTGTGTGTAAATATCACATCGTGTAAAGACAGTTCTACTTCTTATTTTCCAGTCTCTATGCTTATCTCACTAGTAGGGTCTTGAGCATAATGCCGGCTGGAAGTAGAGAGGAGGGATGTCCTCCCCTGGTGAGGGGAATATATAGCAATACAAATTTCCCTCTGAGCTTCGCTTGCCTGCATCTCAGTTTTTTTGGTATATAGTATTTTCATTACCATTCAGTTAGAAAAATGCTTATTTTTCCACAGGGTTTCTGCTCTGACCTGTGGCTTACTTAGAACTGTGTTTCTTAATTTCTAAATTCATGGAGATTTTTTTTTAAATTGTTTTCTTGTTTTATTTTACCTTGTTTGTTTTGTTAATGCACTTGATTTCTGACCTAATTCCACTCTGGTCCTAGTATATACTCTGTATAGCCTCCTTCTTTCAAAATACTTATGTCTGGGGGCGCCTGGGTGGCTCAGTCAGTTAAGCGTCTGCCTTCAGCTCAGGTCATGGTCCCAGGGTCCTGGGATCGAGCCCCGCATTGGGCTCCCTGCTCCACGGGGAGCCTGCTTCTCCCTCTCCCTCTCCCTGCCGCTCTGCATACTTGTGATCCCTCTCTTTCTCTCAAATAAATAAGATCTTTAACCCTCCCCCCCAAAAAATACTTATGTCTGTGGCTCAGCTTATATTCCAACTTTATAAAAGAATGCATTCTTCAGTTGCTGGGCGCAGTCTTTTGCTTACAACAAAAGGTCCAGTTTGTTAATTGTGGCATACAAATCTTTGGTGTCTTTTAAAAAAAAAATTATCGGGGGTGCCTGGGTGGCTCAGTTGGTGAAGCATCCGACTCTAGGTTTCAGCTCAGGTCATGATCTCGGGGTCATGAGACTGAGCCCCGCATTGGGCTCCACACTCAGCATGGAGTCCTCTCGTCCCTCTCCCTCTGCTCTTCACCCCACTCTCTCTCCCACTCTCTCTCTCAAATAAATAAATAAAATCTTAAAAAAAAATAAAAGAAGTGAGGCATTAGGTCCAGCTTACAATCAAGGGGAGGAGATTAGAACAAACAACAAAAGCAAAAACAAGTAGGACTGTATGGAACTAAAATGGTTCTACATAGTGTAGACACCATCCCCCACAATAGAATACTATTCAGCCATTAAAAAGAAGGAAACTCCTAGTATTTGCAACAACACAGATGGACCCTGAGGGCATCATGGTCAATGAAATAAATCAGACAGAGAAAAACAAATACTGTATGATCTCACTTACATGTGGAATCTAAAAATCAAACAGACAAACTCCTAGGAGCAGAGAACAGCTGTGTGGTTGCTGGAGGCAGAGGGTGGGGCTGGGGTGGGGGAATTCGGTGCAGGGGGTCAAAAGGCACAAACTTCCATATATGGCAAGTAAGTTCTGGGGACGTCACGTACAGCATGGTGACTGTGGTCAACAATACTGTATGGTATGTTTGACAGTTTTTAAGAGGGTAAATCTGAAAAGCTTTCACCACAAGGGAAAGCTATTGTAACTCTATGAGGTGGTGGATAGTAGCTGAACTTACTGTGGTGATCATTCCCCAGTATATACATATACCTGAAGTTTACACAGTGGTATATGTCAATTATATCTCAGTAAAACTGGGAGATTAGGACAGACTGTGAACACCAGGAGGTAGAGATTTGGGGGGCCAATTAGATCCCGTCTACCGCATGTGGAACTCTGTACTCTGCAGAAGCAGACCAACCTCCTGCTGTAGAAAACTCCACTCCCCCGAAATTCAGTCTTAATAAAAAACACTCTTATTTTTTTAAATAGAAAATAAAATTCTACTAGCAGAAACCAAATGAGCAAGAAAAATGAAAAAAAATACAACCTTATGCCATGAAATTTCACGAGGCCAAAGAAAATGATGTGCCCCATGATGCCCGACTCTCCCTACACACCCACCTCAGGTACCAGATGTCAGGTACCTCCTGACGAGAGGCACCACAAATCCTGGTAATTGTCACTAATATCCCCCAATGTGTAGAAAAGCTAAAGAAAGGACAAGTAGAAAGCCTGGAAAAGTCAAGGAGAAACCGACGAGAGCAGAAGCAGAGCCTCAGCAAAGGCAGGGAGGGCCTCCGGGGCGCACCTTCTGTGGGAACAAGACCCAGGGCGCTCACTCCGGCCTCGCTCCTCTCACCGTAAATACAGCTGACCCGTATAAGCAGCAAGATTCTACAGAATTGACTGTGTGATTCATAAGGCTAGGTCACAAAAGATACGGTAGCCCTGTACTCGGCGCGCACGCTCTCTCTCTCTCTCTCTCTCAGACCGCTCAGTCTGGGAGGAGCCAGCTACCATCTTGTGTGGATACTCAGGCAGCTCTAGGGAGGAATTGGGGCTCCTTCCAGAGGTATGCTGGAGCTGGCTCATATTGGCTCACGAGAGCCAATTATTAAATTATCAAGAATTGTGTGAGCCAGTTAAACACAGTATTATTAAAAATTAAATTGCATAAGCTTATAAATAAATCACGGCAAAAACAGTGGTATAATTGTGATATCTAATCCAGAATGTGGATTTTTTCCCACATCACCAAGCAGTTAACTCCATCCTGACACTATCTGGAAGATTAGCATCAGATCCCACAGGTTAAGGGCTCAGGCCCGCAAGACTGCCCCCCGACTCTAGACCCCAGTCCCAAGTCCAGGTAGTCACTGTGCTCTTGAGCCACCGGTTATAAACTGGACATTCCCACAACTCCCTCTTCAAGTCATTTGCTAGAACGGCTCACGGAGCTCAGAGAAACACTCTCACAGTTACCAGTTTATTATAAAGGATATGATAGCGGATCCAGATGAACATGTACACAGGGAAAGGGTCCAAAGCGTCCATGCACTCTGAGGGTGCCACGGTCCCCATATCTCCATGCGCTCACCAACCTGGAAACCCTCTGAATCCTGCCCATTTGGGTTTTTATGGAGGCTTCACTGCATACACACAGTTGATGGATTAAATCATTGGTCGCCGGTGCTTAAAACTCAATCTCTAGCCCCTGTCGCCTCCCAGGAGGCTGGGAGGTGGGCCTGAAAGTTCCAACTTTGCCGTGGAATGGATGGTTCTCCTGGCAACCAGCCCCCATCCTCAGGTGCTTTCCCAAAGTCACGTCATTCGCACAACAAAACACACCTTAACCACGGTTACCGCTTAGGAAGTTAGAAGTGTTTGAGGAGCTTGGTGCCAGGACCGGAATGAAGACCAAATATATATTTCTTATTATAAATCACAGTGTCACAAATGGTAACACACAAGACTTCATCTCCTCCTGATCTGGCTACATCCTACAATTATCAGTGCTCTTGAGGTTACTTACATCGACTTACGTCTGTGTGATGGGTGTGTTGTGTCCATAGTTTGAAATCAACCATGGTGAGACTATCTACACTATAGAACTTGGTACACACTATAAATTAGGGTTTAACTTATCATTTTGTTGATTGTCTAGACTTAGAAAGTCATGGAGAAAATGTGGGGTTTTTTTAAATGTTAGTAATGCAAAGTAAGCTTAAAAGTGTCTCATATCTGGAGCCATTTCATTAAGAAGAGCACAAAAACCTGAAGAAATATCTTTCCAGTATTAAAAAAAAAAAGTAGCATTCAACTCAACAACATCGTTGCTCCCCCCAGGGATGAATGAGTGAAGTTCTGACGTTTACCCTGATCATTAATGTTAATTAGAACCAACATTCTTGTCAGAACCACACTCGGAGAGCCAGCTGGTAAACCAGCCATGGGAGGGCACCATCTTGTTAGGGGATCCTCCTGCCCCGGTCGCGCCTTCAGACCACCACAGCCCCGGCCTGTCGCCCGCCGGCAGCCTCCACACACACCCTGAGAGAGTGCCACCCAGCTGAGCCACTCCCGGATTCCTGACCCACAGAACTGTGGGAGAGAATAAACCCTTTGGGTTTTTTCGAGCTGCTAAATTTGGGAGTAATCTGTGCTACAGCCATAGACCCCAACAAACACACCGTCTTGTACTGAACTGTACTAGAGGGAAAATGAGCCATGATTCACTGGACTATTTTGTTGTGACAAATTCCCAGGAGTGGAATAACTGACCCAAAGACTATGAATAAAAATATGTTTCTTGACTTCTTAACAGTTTGTTGCCAGCAATGAAAGCATCTTTTTGCCTAGAGCAGGGGTTTGACCCACTTTTTCTTGGAAGGCTGGAGAGCATACATTCTAGGCTATGTAGACGCAAGGGTATAATCAAGGAGGGTGTGTAATTAGATAACCATCTGACACATAACCATTTAAAAATGTAAAATCCATTCTGAGCTCAGAACCAAACAGAAAACAAGGCCTTGGGCTAGATTTGGCCGGGGCTGTACTTTACCCAGCCCTGGCCCAGAGGGTCAGCAATGCTACCTGTTATAATTGATGATTTTGTTCATAAGATAGGTATTAAGTGATATTTCATTTTTCGTCTTAATTTGCATATGGCATCTTTCAAGGAAAATAATGGAATCTATTCATGCTAACGTTGCCTCTATTTTTTGGAAAAGCCATTGGTCGGCTAATTCAATATTCAATTAATTCAGTATTTACTCAGGGCCTGCTTAAGACTCTTTAAATCCAAACAAACTGAAGTGAGTTGTGATTTTTGTGAATTTGCATTTCTCTTTGTTTTGGCCTGGTATAGGGTTAACAAGTTGTCAGACACCAGCACAGATATCTAAGCCCTCAAGATCCCCTCGATGCAGTCCCAACAAAGAGTCCCTATCAGCAGGATTAAACGCATTCACTCCAGGATCTTCTCAATACAGTCAGGCCTGCCAATCCAGAGGAACACTGGGGTGAACAAGTATTTCAAATGCATGCAAGAGGGCAGATTTGGGTTCAATTCTTAGAATCACGCTATTCTTCTGCCAAAAAGTGCAGGTCAACCTTTCACAGGGGCTTGAGAAAAAAAATGTGCAGATTTTCAGCATAAAAGACTGGCCCCGCTAGGTTTCAGCAATGCCAGGCTCTCAGCTCTAGTTCAAAGGCAACATCCCAGTGTTTCCTGACCAGGATTAACCCAAAAGAGGAAAGTATCAGAAAAGGTCATGGTAAAGGTCACAGGAAAGGTCTTGGCCCTTCCTCTCACCAATAAGAAGAAAGAATAAAAGTCTACTGGCCACAAAAGCATGTTTAATCCTCCTTTTTCATCTTTCACTGTGAAACAGATCACATATTGGATCACCAGAAGTTTAAGATTTTTTTAAACATGCTTATGAAATATATGGATAACCTATCATGTTCTTTTATTTTTATTTATTTGACAGAGAGAGAGACAGGGAGAAAGGGAACACAAGCAGGGGGAGTGGGAGAGGGAGAAGCAGGCTTCCCGCGGAGCAGGGAGCCCGATGCGGGGCTATCATGTTCTTTTATTGTTAAAAAGAAAAAAATACTGACGTGCATCTTACAAAATGGTCTCGAGTTGGCCATCCACAGGGTGTGACCGTCAAATAGTGAGACTGGATTTTATGGGTTAGGGAAGAGACTGAGTCCAGTGTTTCATAATCTCGAATCACATAGGAAAGGAGAAGCTGTCATCCATGGGGCCTCTGAGTTGGAAAGGGTCCCCGGGTCATCGAGGCCAGCCACCTGCCCTGTACGGGAGGCTCTTCTCCAGACTCTGGCAAGAGGTTCATGTGGGCTCCGCTTGGCCAACCTTTGCTTCTGGAGACCTCCCGGGAAGTATTTCTCGGGGTACCACTTCAGACAAGTTGAGAGCAGTGCCTTTTGAGGAATGCTTCATGGCCTTTGTCACGTCCAACGTGGGAAATGTTGCTTGCTAGAGACTTTCAGGGATTTGTCGGTATTCGGGGCCAGGAATGTAGGAATGACTGACTCACACCTGACCACCAAGCCTCTTCCCACAAAGGCTCTAGGTGGGCGAGTCTTGGCCCCTCTCCCCGCCTTGGCTCCTGCAGCACCGGCAAGAAGTGGTGTGGGAGCCCCGGGTGCTGACCGCCAGCGTCTCCCACCCCAGGCCCACCTACATGTCCTGGTCCTCAGCACCCGTGACCACACCCTTCACGGTTACTGTCCAGGCCGCACGGGACATGTGTGTGCACACCTGCAGGATGCACCACCAGAAGTGGGATTTCTAAGTTAAAAGATTATATGAATATTAAATTAGATTGAATTCCTCCAGCTAATCTGTTTTCTAAGGAAGTTGTACCAAATTAAAACTCCAACAGTGGCATTTTCCCCACATCCTCACCAACTTAAAATTTCTGATAATCTGGTAGGCTAAAAAAAAAGAAAATGGCATCATACTTACATTTGGTATCTGTTTAGACTACTCTTCCAGATCTTTCCAATCTATGGCTTCTTTTTCTGCCATTAAATGTCAGTCAAATCACTAGGTCAAAGAATTTTTACTTGCAGCAAATTCTGAACATCATCAAAATGTTAGGCCCAGTATGAGAAAGTGCAGCTGGGCGTGAGCTGGGGGCCACGCAGCCCTCTGGTGGCTCCTCTCTATGGCCATGCTAACGGGGTGCCCCGTTTCTATTGCAGGTCAGCCGTATATGCCAACAGTTCTATGCCATGTTCCTGAAAAGGGCCACATACTCTTGGCACAACTGGATGCTGATGCTAACAATATAGGTCCTGGCACCTCTGGCGATCACCATCTTCAGCCTTGCCTTCTTCAACTTGGAAACGCGTATGGACAAGGTCCCACTGGAACTGACCCTAAAAACATACGGTCAAACCATTGTCCCATTCTATATTTCTCCCAATTCCAGGCTGGGTCCTCGGCTTTCGGAACATTTTACAAACATGCTTGTGGCTGAGGAGCAGATCCCTCTGGAGACTCTGAGTAAGTCTGAGGCTCCGGGGATAGGGTGTGCTGCAGGCATGCTGCTCCCCGGGGGACGCCCCATCCTTTGGGGCCATGCGGTGCTCCCTAAAATCAGACAAACAGCCAGAAGTCTCAGAAAGACATCTTTAACCCTCCCCCCCCCAGATGACAGGAAAGGGAGGATGCCCAGAAATGAAACCAGGCTGTGTCTTTCTGGGGACTGCAGCATGTGCAAAAATGAAATTAATGAATTATCTGATGTGTTGGACATGCCCTGAGAGGAGATTTACACGTCTATTGAGGGGGTTTGGTGATAGACACAGAGAACACTAAGCAAATGTGAGAAGGAAGGACATGGGGGCACCTGGGTAGCTCAGGTCGAGCGTCTGACTCTTGATTTTGGCTCAGGTCATGATCTCAGGGTCATGAGACTGAGCCCCACGTTGGGCTCTGTGCTGGGTGTGGAGTCTGTTGGAGATTCTCCCTCTCCCTCTGCGCCCCCCCTGCTCACATGCACACACACTCGCGCTCTCTCTCTGTCTCTAAAAAGAAATAAATCTCTAAAAGAAAGAAAGAGAAGGAAGGACATTAACTCTGGCAGGGAGGTTGTACAAAAAAGGAAACACATCGTAACACACCACTTGGTTCAGCTGTGAACTGATTTAACCACCCTTACGATGTGCTCCAGGGGAGGGCTGAGGAAGGGAGACTATAGGGGTTGCGGGTAAGAGAAGAAAGTCCTTGCTTCCCTAAGAGGACATCAATAGGTAAACATGCGATTTAGCAGTCTGGAGAAATGCCAGCTGACCAGTGTGAGAGTGGGTGCCCCCGGGGAGCAGGCACTGGGGTCGGCAGAGGGAAGGCCAGGGCATGGCCATTTGTCATTGCGAGTCTTGCATAATTATCCAGTTTTAAAAGTTATACTGCATGAGTTATTTGGATGAGAAATAAAATTGTACTTGCTTTTTTAAATAAAGTAAAGAGATCAAATGCAGAACATGGTGTGGCAAACGGGGAGAAGGAGAAACCTCGCCTCCTCTGTGAGCGAGGGCCTGCTGAGTGCCCCGCCAGCAGGGTGGTTACCATTGTTGCTGGGATGGGCGGTCCCTTCTAGTGCTAAAGACCGCCAAGTTCCAGGGAGTTCCAGGGAGTTCTAGGTGGGTCCCATGTTTATGTGGTGCTGTGTGACGAACGGTGTCGCTCCCAGCCTGTAGTGAACCCCTCACCCAGAGGTCAGAGGGGAAGTGAAGAAAGTTGCAGGGACAATGGCAGTGCTGCGGGATCGCAGGGTGTAGCTTGGCCTCGGAAGGGGTCAGAGTGGCTGCAGGGTCAGAGCATGAGCTGTGAGCCTGAGCTGACTGGCAGAAGGGGAAGAGAACTGGAGAACGTTCCAGAGCACGAGGACAGCATTTGTAAGCACCGGGAACGGCGGGTCCTCAGGCGTGGCAAGAACCTGGTTTTGAGAGCTGGGTTTGGACGATGACTGAGTGCTACAGACCACATGGGCAGTGAGGGCCACCGGCAGTGGTTCGGTGAGGTGCAGTGCAGCCACACGTGGCCTTCCACGCACACGGGAGGGGCCTGGCAAAGGCGCTGGGGCCCGGGGCCGAGTCAAGGCCCTGGGGAGGGCAGGGCATAGACAGCCGGAAAGATGACTAGACTTTTCTCCTTTTTTCCCCACTGCTTCCATCAACGAAAGGGAGGTTTTAGAGCAGCCCCGGAGCTGTGGGGCCCAGGCAGGAGGCGGCCCTGCAGGGACAGGGGTCACTGGAAGTGAGGGCGCAGCCACGTCTGGAGTAGCCCCCTTTCAGATGGGGCTGGGGTCCAGGGGTGAGGCACGCAGCTCCGGGGCACTCCGCTCTCCCGCAGGCTCGGTGGAGGACCTCCTCCGGCGAAAGGCACAGGAGGAGCCCGAGGGCTTTGATTACAAATACGTCGTGGCGGCTTCCTTTGAAGACTCGGGGAACCACACCATGGTGATGGCGCTCTTCAACAAGGCGTACCACTCCCCTGCTGTGGCGCTGGCGCTCGTGGACAACTTTCTCTTCAAGCTGCTCTCCAGGGCCAGATCCTCCATCACAGTGGTCAACCACCCTCAACCCCAGTCGGCCCTGGAGGCCTCTGAGGATATCTTGTATCAGTATGTGCAACTGCCCTCCCCCCAGTAGAGCCTCCCCGTCCACATCCACAGCGTGGCTCCCTTGACCACCTGTCGCTTCTTGCTTGCTTCTTGTTGTAAAGACAAATTGTCCCTGTGGAGGACGGCTTCTGTGAGCAGCTCTGCTTAAACCGCCTCCTCCCTCCCTCCCTCTCTTCGTGTCCTGTCACAGGGACCTGAAAGCACACTTTCTCATTATCAACTTGCTTTTCGGAATGGCTTTCCTGTCCAGTTCCTTTTCCATCTTGACAGTCAAGGAGCGATCCACGAAGGCCAAGCACGTCCAGTTTGCCAGTGGCGTTTACGTGGCTACTTTCTGCCTGCTGTGGGACCTAGTCACCTCCCTCGTCCCCAGTCTGCTGCTGCTGGTGAGGGCTGCATGGTGCACGGGGGGCTTGCCGTGGGGACCCCGCAAAGGACCGGAAGCCTGGGCTGGCCACTCACCCAGGACATGACTCCGTCACTGACTCTGGGTAAAAGGTCCAGCACCATTGGGAGCAGAGGGGCCTGCTCTGGGGTCTCCAATCTGTGGCGTGCCCATGACTGCTGCCACAAGCTAGTAAGAGGCTGTGTGCTGGGGATGTTTGTTCACAGCCCGGAAATAGCTCAGTAGGGCCCCGAGGGGGCAACTACTGGATCATGACACTCTGTGCGGGGCGGGTCACGTCCCCCTTTGCTCGACCTGTGTTCTGTAACCGTTGCCGAGCCCCTGACCTCACGGTGCGGACTTACAGGGGCAGAGCCCACTGTGTGCGCGGTCAGAGATGAGGAAGTGCAGGGGGGCACCTGTGCAGCAAATAAGTTTGCTTATTGCTTAAAGTTGGGATCACCGCATCCTTTCTGTAATCCTTAGCATTAACTCTTAGTGACTCTTCCAAATTCTCCCCCCTTTTTCCCAAGGTGGTGTTTCTGTACCACAAGGAAGAAGCTTTTACACACAAGGACAACGTCCCGGCCTTTATCTTGGCGCTTATGCTCTATAGCTGGGCAACCATCCCCTTCATCTACCTGACCAGCTTCTGCTTTCACTATGAAGGCAGTGCTTTTATCAAGCTCATCATCATACTCACCTTCTCGAGCATTGGCTCCCTATCTTAGTCACAAGCGAAAAAGGTGAGGACCGTCCTGTCTACACATATCTTTCATTCTTCCAATCACAGCCATGGAAGGCATACCCCCGAAAGTTAGGCTGTTCTCAGCAGCTGTCTCCTGAAGAGTCCCAAACCGTGTCCCAAACACACATCTCCAGGAGAGCGGAGAGACGTGGTGGTTATGATCATCCAGTGGGTTATGCTCAGCAACAGACAGGGAACAAAGCACTTAGGGCGCATACACACACACACACACACACACAGCCGCATGGATGGACATCTGACCCTGCCGATAGGACGAATCCTGGTGACAGTCAGGAGAGCGGTGGCCTCTGAGTTTGGGAGAGAGGGGCTGACTAAACAGAGACCCCAGGGAACCTCCTTGAGATACTCTGCATCTTGAGCGAGGTGTTGGTTACATGGGTATAAACATTTGTCAAAATTCATCAAATGGTCCACTTACGATCGTGCATTTCATTGAAATAAATTATTCCTCTGTTTTTTAAAAAAGGTAGTGAGTCAGTCAATAAGCCAAGGTTGGGAGAGGGCTGTTTGGTGAGTGTGCAGTTAGGGTCGGAGCACCTGGGCAGCAAGCCGTCATTCATACTGTGCACGCTGACATTGACACCTTCACGTCTGGGCTGCATCTCTCTCTGCATTGGGTTGGATACACACACTCATTTCTACCTCTATAATTCTTTTCTCTATTTACTTGGATGCCAACCACCTCCTTTAAATTGGCATTTGGGTTTTTGTTGTTGTTGTCTCTACCTAAGAATATGTGAATAGCTCCCTGTCTTGTCTTTGTCTTAGGAGCTATTCTGTCTCCTAGAGGACTGGCCACGCGTCGATTCTTAGCCATCTTGATTGGGCATGTTTTACTGGTCTAACGGTCTGCGTTCTTCCTAGTTCTCATGCCTACCAACTATGGAATTTCAGAGATGGAACTGTTTTCATCTGAGCAGATCAGAAAAGCAACAGCGTTTTGATTTTATGACTGGAACAGAACAAAAAGCATGCTGCAGACAGAGGAAAGGGGTTAGCAAAGGCATGTCCTAAGGGAATCCTAACCCCGCAGTCCTCAACTGCACTGTGCATCCGAGATTCATGGGTCAGCATGTCAAGACACACCCCAGGTGATCCCAATGTGGACGGACCAGGAATCACTCTGAGCAATGCTGCCCTTGTCTCCAGAAAGAACCTGAGGATGCCTCCCTTTCTCCTCTCCTCTGCCACCCAACCCCACCCCAGAGAGACAAGCACCCACAAGTCCAAGGACACTGAAGGGCCCTGATATGGGGACAGAGCTCTCTCAGAGAGAATGACCAAGCCAGGGAGCATGGATCTCTGGGCCTTCTCTCTGGATCCCTCGACCTTTCTGGGATCCATTTCTTCTTAGATTGCTTCATGCCCTTTCTTCTCTCCCCTCCTACACGGCAACAACAAGGACCGAGACCCTTCTCCCGCTTTGCAGGAGGCCCCCTCCCACTTAAAAGTCATGGGGGAAGGAGGCTCGGACAAGGCACGAAGCTCTGGTCTGGGGGAAAGCATGCTGGTTCCTGTGTGCACCCCATCCCCACCTCCTGAGGAAGGACACCGTTAGGACACTTTGGCCTCTATACACTCACCCCGAGGGCCTCATTCGGATGCTGTTGTCATGGCAGCACAGAGTCGAGAATATAAAGCTAAATCTGAGCTCTCCTTTCTCTGAGACACCACTAAAATAATAGAAAAGGAAATAAAGATGTATGAATTCATGATGAAGGAGCATCCAAAGTGCATTTGGAGGGGGAAATGGCTGAGCAAGGACCTAAATGAGCACCACAGAATCCTGGAGAGGCTTGGGAGCCAGAAGCTGGGGAGTGAAGGTGGGGCTGATAACAGTGTGTGCCTGTTTCTGCCCCCACGTCCCCTGCAGGAGGCAGAGAACACCCTCCTCTGGATGAACTGAAGTTGCTCTCACACAAGACCTACACATTCTGCCTGGTCTCCTGCCCGAGATGTCGCCCTCCCCCGTGCATAAAGCCAGCGATTGCCTCCCGGCGCCTCTTCTGCTTCTGTGGCTAGTCAGGCAGGGTCAGCGAACACTTGAGGAAAGATAGCAACCACAGAAGAGACAGAAAGCAAAGCGGACCACCAAAAAGGAAACATGGGGAAATGCAGGACACAAAACAACCATTTTGGAAAAGACGGCATCTATTAAACGGTAGAATTTTACAAGGGAAAAAACCCAACTCTGAGAGCAAGAAAGAGCAGACTGCTAGCACAAAACACTTAGCAGAAGGTGTGGGAGATGAAGCCTGTCGACCTCTCGGAAAGTAGAGCAGAAAGACAGGAGGACCAGGGAAGGTGGGGGCGGGCAGGTGCCGGGAGAGGGTCCAGGAGCTGCAGCCCCATCCCCTGAGAAGCACTCCACAAACAGAAAGTTTGGGGAAATCACCAATAAGATCTCCCGGCGTCGCAAACAAACCAAGATCAAGGCTGAAGGGATCCGTGAGACGTCCAAAGCTGAGGGGAGAAGGGTCCAGACCTTAAATCCAGACACTTCCTGGGGGACAAATTCTGGCACCATTCAACTGTCCAGCGAGCGGAAGCATGGAATGAAGGCAAGTCCAGCCACGCCAAGGGAAATGCAACCCTCCGTGTCTCTTTCTCAGGAAGTCAACCGAGACACATGGGCCAGCAAAGTGAAGGAGCAAAGTAACAAAGAAGGCATGGGACCCAGAGAGGAGCAGGTCTGACCCTGGGTGTGGCGGAGAACAGCCACTTTCCGGTGGAGGGCGACTCAGAAGGTTTGTGACCTCACCCCGGCCTTTGAGCAGCTTTGGGGTAGGATCCAGAGAGAAAGAAGGAAGGAAGATAAGTGGGAGCCATGAATATCGGCCTCTTCAATTAGATGTGTCGCTCATGGACACCTTCTTTGATTCTGGTTACAATGACCTGCGGGGAAAGGGGTGGCCCCTCTCAGATTCCAAGCACTTCCCACTTAGGGCCGAGAGACACCACCTGGCTGACTGTTGGTTCCTAGGCCAGGCTCAGGAGCATTGTCTGTTTATGGTTAAGCCTTTCTCTGGATCCCACGCAGGAGCGGCAAGGCTTGTATCCTGGTGCTTACCCCCTGCCCCCTCCACCTCAGCCTCCAGATGAGATTTCCAAATTTAGAGTTCTAAATAGAGCAAATTAGGAGGGCATGACTGGCTGTGCTTCCAACCCAGTCCTATCTACCACCTTCCCAGCCGTCCTGCTGAGTTATGGTCTCAGGCACAGCTCAAGGCCTGGTCACCAGGGCCATGGCCCTCAGGCCTTGCAGCCCAGCTCACAGCTAATGCGTGCGGCCCCAAACTGTGCCTCATGCCCCTCAGCTAGGCCATGACTCTGCAGCCGTTTCTGCGTCCTGCCCCAGGACATGTTGGTTGGGAGACCTCATATCCCAAGTTCAACTCCGTGAGGAGTGGCTCCACTGATGAGAATTTCACAGGTTGGGTACCCAAAAGCTGTACTGCTCTAAATCCAGGTCCTGAGAGTAGAGTTCCTTTCATGTAATTGGTTCAGCCTCTCCCCACGCGATCTGTAAGTCATGTGTCCATGGGCTCCCTCCCCTGAATCACCCATGGGCGTGGAGCTGGTTGTGTGAGCTGTCACAAAGTCTATTATTAGCGCTCCCGTCCCCATCCCTCAGTTTCTCCTTCCTTCCGGTGAGGATGCGCTGGGGCATGGAGGGACAGCAGGCAACAGCCGGGGCAGCAGGGGAGGGCTCAGGGATGCGGTCACGTTACTGGCCTGTGTCCCGTGCCACGCAGTATGAATTCATCCTCTTATGAGCAGCTGATCAGTAGAATATTTCTTTTCCAGAGCATTTGTGTTTATTGTTGTAAATAGACGTTTTTAAAATATTTTAAATATACATGCTTCAATTTCTTGCCAAACAACCCCGTTTGGCGTTTCTTCACTTTGTAATATAACATGAATCTAAAAATTGGCTTCTCTTAACCTCTAAGAGTCCCCAGTTTCTGTATATTTAGTTCATAACCAGCCAATTTACTGACCTTGCTTTTGTGTCTCACAGGACTTTGGCTGATTCTCGTGGCCTTTCCAGGTCTATGGAGGCAGAGAGCATCTGCAAATGACGGCTTTGTCCCCACAAACGATCTAGGCGGGGACTGTGTCCTCCTTAGCTCCCATACGAGGATGCTCAGACACCCCCACAGCTGGCCGCCCAGACCCTGCTATCTGGCCCAGCTCCCTGGTAAACCTCATCCCCCTCCCACCTCTCAGTTCGCCCCTTCCACAGATGAATCCCATGTGGCAGCCATGCTCTTGCTGGTTTTTCCCAAACACAGCTCTTTGGGATTCATCTGCACAAGCGATTGGAATGGAAGTGAAATGGCAAGCTCGGGAAATATGGCCCAAAGGAAAGTGTGTACAGCGTGGAGGTTGAATGACCACCGAGGTCTTTGGGCCCGGGCCCGGGACAGTGATGCGTGCCGCAGGCTGTGCCCTTTTCTGCCTGTAAGTGAGTCAGTACTTTCTATCCCCTTCGCAGAGATGGGCTACACAATGGTGTTGGACTCCTTGGACCGCATGTTCCTACTGCTGCCAGGCCACTGCCTGGGAATGGCCCTCTTCAACTTATACTACAAATACGGAATCCAGAAGTTATGCAAAACCAGGAACCTGGACCACTGGGAGTGTAATCAAATTTGTGAGTACTGCACGTGGAAATTTTCCCTTTGACAGGATACAACTCAGTGGGTTTGGGTATGTTCACAAGGTTGTATGAGCATCACCATGATTCAATTCCAGAACATTTCCATCACCCCAAAAAGAAGCATGGTCCATTCACACGGTCTTTCCCCCGTTGCCCCTCCCCCAGCCCCTGGCAACCACTAAGCCTTCTCTCTCCGTCTGTGGACTTGCCTGTTCTGGTCCTTCGTGTCCGCCTTCTCTCGTTCAGCATCGTGTTTTCAAGGATCAACCACGTTGGAGAGGGTGTCACAGCCTCGTTCCCTTTTCATGGCTGAATCATATTCCATTGTCTGGATGGACCACAATTTGTTCATTGGGTGATGTTCATGCAGGTTGTTCCCACCTGTTGGTAGTTATGAATAATGCTGCTGCGAGATTCATGTACAAGTTCTTGTGTGAATGTGTTTTCAGTTCTCTCGACTACATACCTAGGAATGAATTTGTGTTTAGCTTTTCGAGGAACCACCAGACTGTTTTCCACAGCGGCTGCACCATTTTACATTTTGCCTGCGATGTATGAGGGTTCCAATTTGTCCACATTCTCTCTGACACCTTTAAAAAAAAATTTTTTTTTTTGAGAGAAAGAGACAGAGCAAGCAGGGGGAGGGTCAGAGGGAGAGAACCTCAAGCAGACTCCCTGCTGAGCGTGGAGCCCGACGCGGGGCTCCATCCCACGACACCAAGATCACGACCTGAGCCAAAACCCAAAGTCGGATGCTCAACCGCCTGAGTCACCCAGACGCCCCTAGATTATTCATTTTTTTAAGTTGTGGTAAAATGTATATGAAGTTTACCATTTTAACCATTTTTGAGTATACTGGTCAGTCGCATTAAGCACAATCACACTGTTGAACCACCATCTCCAGAACCATTTTCATCTTGCAAAACCAAAACAGTCCCTGTGAAACCCCAACTCCCCATCCACCAGCCCCTGGCACCCACCACCTCCCACGCCGTGTCTGTGAATTCTGCTCCTCTAGGGACCCCACATGAAACTGCCTAAGGCCTTTCTCATTTCCTTTTATAATCATCCATGAATTTACCTTTGCCAGAGACCTTTATTATTCTGATCTGTATGTCCCGGAACAGTCACTGTCTGTTATAGATTAAATGAAACTGGCAAATTGGAAAAAATAATGCATAGTATCACTCCGTTTATATCGTAAAAGCTCGTGTCTGGAAAGGGTAGAAGGGTTACACACAAACCCTAACAATAGTTTGGGGGAGTGGAGGGGTCCCTCTCACATGTTCCTTTTTTCTTTTTTTTTTTTTTTTAAAGGAAGTTGAGGACTTTTTTTTTTTAATTTTATTTATTTATTTATTTGAGAGAGAGAGAGAGCACATGAGAGGGGGAAGGGTCAGAGGGAGAAGCAGACTCCCTGCTGAGCAGGGAGCCTGATGCGGGACTTGATCCTGAGACTCCAGGATCATGACCTGAGCAGAAAGCAGTCGCTTAACCAACTGAGCCACCCAGGCACCCTCACATGTTCCTTTTTTCTGACGAGTGTGTATTTATGGTATAATTTTCAAATACATGTATTTAAAGGTAAATTGTGAAAGCAAATGAGATTACAGAGGGGGCTAGAGGCTTCCAGATGTTTCGACAGGACTGGTCAGCTGAAGCTGCAGGTGACTGACAAATGATCAAAGAACCAAACATGTAAATATCTTTCCAACCACTGTCATAGAACAGGGTGAGGTCCTTGACCTCAATGCATTAGTTGTACAGCGTAGCAAGAGAAACAAAATACTGTTCATGTTTACCACCTGCTGGGACGTGGGAACAGCACTGATGACACTCATGTGTGGTTTCAACCGCATTTGCTAAGGGAGGAAAGACTGGGAAGCCAGCCCTCCAGCTGGTAACACGTACTTCTTCCCTGTTAGCAGAGGGATACACAGTCCAGGAGAGCGTCTACGCCTGGGAGTCTCTCGGGACAGGGAAGTATCTGACGGCCCTGGTCATCTCGGGGTTTGTTTACCTCATCCTGCTCTTCCTCGTTGAAACCAACGTCTTGTGGGAGCTGAAAGCCGGGTTTTCTGACTTCAACAGGAAGCGACAAGTGGTGAGCGGGGTCAGCGTGTAACTCTGGAAGCCCGGGTCAATGGGCTGGCTCCACAGTCCGTGGTCGAGAGTGGCTTTGACTGTCAGCATCTGAGGGAGCCTGGAAACCCTCTCATCCACCCCCATGGCAGAGGGGTGACAGCCCGTGCCAGGGGAGGGGATGGGGGGGTGGGCAGAGATCTGGAGGGACAGGGACGCAGAGGACTGGCCTGGCTCCTGTGACCCTGGTCGGCTGAATAGGAACAAGACCCTGGATTTCCTAAGACCACTCACCTTTCTGGAACACCTCTTCCCCCCCACCCCCACCCAGTCAGCCAGGAGGAGCCCCGAAGAAGAGTCTGTTCTGTCAGCTCTTGGGAAGATTCATTTGTTTTGCCTTGATAGCCCAGGCTTCAGGTCTTTTAATTTTCCTCAAAAGCCAATACCAAGTGACGTTTCCAGGTCCTTGGGACCCTGGTTGCCCCTGAGAAAGGGGTGGTGGTGTGTGCGTGAGCCCCACGCACCCTCGGCCTCCTCCCCCACCCTCGCACTAGCAGGGACTCCCACCTCCCACCCTTGCCTCCGGAAAGCAGGTGTTGATGCACAGTGTAGCGTCAGTGCCCGTAGATCAAGATGTGGTGCAGGAGGCAAAGGTCGTGGAGATTTACTTGGAAAAGCTGCGTGAGGAGAACCCACTGGTTCTTAGAGAAGTGTCAAAGGTAAAGTCAGACGTGCCTGAAAAAGCAAAGACCACCCCCGGTGGCCCTTTCGTAAGGAAGCACTCCCCTGCTTGAACGGTGAAGGAGATCTTGTTCACAGCCAGCAGGGGCACTGTCTCTGCATAGACCTGAGATGCCCAAGACAGAAGGCGTGCCGTGAGGTGGCTGGGGGCCGGCAGCCTAGAGCCGCCCCACATCTGTCACACCATCCTGGGTCAGGTGCCGGCTGTCGTCAGGCCCAGGGGCTTGGAGGGGCCAGGTTTCCTTTCCCTCCCAGCAGGGTTAGGGGGTTTGCTCTCCTCCTTCTGTCCCTACAAATGGAGAGCCTGGTTCTCCAGGATTAGCCTCTTCCCTTCAGTCCTCCAAGCAAATAAACCCCCTTGATGTTGCCTGAGTTGTCTGTTGGTTGGTTTGTTTGAACCACCAGTGACTCTAGGGAAACAAAGAATAAGAACTTACAAACTGGGGGAAAATGTTACAGAGGTCCTGGATGTTTGAAGGGTCTCTCCATAAAATTCTGGCTGGAGCTCTGCAGCTGGCTAACCAGGCTTGGTTTGAGCTGTCGGAGCCTCTCCCCATCCCCCCACCAGGAACTCCCTGGAAAATTGCCTTCTAGATCCTGGAGAAGGTCAGCCAGTCGTGTCCAACCCCGAGGCTTCCTGCCTCTTGGGGTTTGTGGCTCTGGCCCTCCTGCCTTACAGGGGACTCCCGGAGAGGTGCCAGAGGGTTCAGGCCCTAACTCCTACCCTCGGGCACTTTGGGAGCAAACAGCCCTGGATGTGATTCGTTCACAGAGGAAAGCTCCCCGCCTGTGTGTCTCCACGGTAGCTCAACCCAGTCGAGTGGGGCCCGGAGAGCCAGCAGGCAGCGCTGGGAGCCCCCTGGCGGCTGCTTCCTTACGAAAGGGCCACCGGGGGTGGTCTTTGCTTTTTCAGGCACGTCTGACTTTACCTTTGACACTTCTCTAAGAACCAGTGGGTTCTCCTCACGCAGCTTTTCCAAGTAAATCTCCACGACCTTTGCCTCCTGCACCACATCTTGATCTACGGGCACTGACGCTACACTGTGCATCGACACCTGCTTTCCGGAGGCAAGGGTGGGAGGTGGGAGTCCCTGCTAGTGCGAGGGTGGGGGAGGAGGCCGAGGGTGCGTGGGGCTCACGCACACACCACCACCCCTTCTTGGCATCAACGGAGCCGGGAAAACGTCCATCTTCAAAATGCTGACTGGGGAAGAGCCCATCACCTCTGGGGATGCCTTTGTCAGGGGCCTCAGCATCCGCTCTCACCTGAGGGAGGTAGGCTGTGACCTGGGACGAGGGGGCAGCACTTGGGAAGGGGTAGCTGTTGGGAGGAGGGGATGTGGAAACGCACCTGGCGGTGTGATGCAGGCCTGGGGTGCGCTTGGTCTTTGGAAACCCCGCCTATCAGGTTTATACATGACTCCCAGCCCCATGGCCCTCCCCACCCACGATCTTCAGTGTCCAGTGCTCACAGCCCTGGATGTCCCTCCCACACCCTCCCAGGTCCTAGGTCCAGTCTCCCAGCCGCTCCCACTGCACTCATGCCAAGGTTCCTGGGGACACCCGGCTTGCCTTCCTTGCCCTCGGCAGGGCATCTCATAATGCAGACCCACCTCCTATGAGCTGCGGCCTTCCCCTCTCCTCCGGCTCTTCCCACCTTGACCCTTCTGTCCCAGACGCCTGCGGAGGGTGTTCTTTGCCTGCCCACTAGGCCATGGCACTCCTCAGGGCTGCAACACCAGCCCTCTGTCCCTCTCGCTCTACAGGGGCCGCCCCCGCCTGAGCTCAGTGGTTACTCTGTCCCCGTCTTCTGCTCGCTGAGGGCGCCCACCCAGCCTCGTCTGCAGCCCGGCCCCAGTCGTGTGTGTGTGTGTGTGTGTGTGCGTGTGTGTGTGTGTGCGCGCGCGCGCGCGCACGTGCGCCTCCTAGACAGCCTTGCTCAGACGTCTCCCTGTTGACACCCGAGCTTCTCATAAGCTCCTCAAACCTGACCCTCTTCATGGGGTCTCCACCTCAGCTACTGGCACCAATTCGATGAACGCCCGGTAGACGCCAATGCTTGTGCCGGCCCAGTGGCCCTTGACAGCATGGAGAGTGACAGGGCGGTCAGTGGTGTGGTGTCGGCACCTGGTGGAGCCAATGAAAGGCGCAGGGAGAGACCAAACCACGGCAGCATAATGGAGGGTATACTCTTCACAGCACAAGCCATCTAGTCGCCAAAAGTTTATCAAACCAGCTTCAGTGTCCATGACAGAGATCGCGTTCAGAGAGAAAGCAGAAGAACCCACGCAAGCCTGTTCTGGAATCTTTAGCCCCTTTGTGTTTGGTGCCCACAGCGGGGGTGAACAGCCGTAGCCAACATAAGCCTCTCACGGCCGCGAGACACTTACGACTCATTTTAACTCTTTTCCTATTGTACCAATTACAGGGGAGGCTTCTGGTAATGGCAAATTGCGTGACTCTGACCCCCTTCCTGGCAAGAACTGTAATAACAGGACCAAATTTTAAAAACATCTCCAGAGAGCCTCCTGAGAAGATAGTGAAGACTTATGAGGCAGGAGGTAGGACAGGGAGAGAACCAGGGAGGCAACCACGTTCGGTCAGGGTGGCTGGGAGCCCAGGGTTGCTCCTGATGCTGAAGTGACAGGCACTGAGGTGAGTGCCTCCTTTCTTAGAGTGAGGACCCTGAAGGGCTGCGCCCTGGGTGCAGGGATGAGCCACATGTAGACAAGCTCATCCAAGGACCACAAAAGGACCTGGACTCATGTCAGTCCCTGAAACAGGGCTGACAGGACCCTAAGCCACCAATGCTCCCAGGCACCTGGTGGGAGCCAATGTCAACCTCTGGGGAAAGATGATACCATCCTTGGCTACAAACAATTTCGCAAATGCAATGCTTGGTACACAAGAAAATTAACCAGATATATGTGCATAAAAGACAAAGCCCCCCTTCAAAAAAAGTAAGAACGAAGCCTGGAGAGTCAAAAGGGCAGAAGTTATCCAAGAGAAGGTAAGAATGTTGGGCAGACCTTCGAGAACACCCTGAGGGGTCCCTGTCCTGGCGCTCGCACCCCCTGAGCAGCCCCTCCCATGCTGGACCAGGGTTGGTCCGGGTGGCAGCAAAATTTGCAAGAGATGGTATGTCACGTCCAAGACTGGGTTACCGAAGACACTACAGCTTCTGCGTGGGGTACACCCTCTCCCGCATATCCCTCACAGTGGGGGAAGCTAACTGCACATCCTGATGGTGCTCACACAGCCCATGGAGGGGCCCACGTGGTGTGGAGCAGCGTGGGAATCCTGAGACCTGCCCACAGCTACGTGAACGAGCTCTGCAGCAGATCCTCCAGGCTCCCAGGGACGCGGGCTTGGCGGGGAGGCCAAGAGCCACCTCATGATGGAGCCTGCCCAGGACCGCCCAGCCAAGCTGTCCCCAGATCCATGAGCTGAGCTTCAGAAGCCATGAAATAATGAGCAAACCACGGCTAAGTTTTGGAGTAACTCGTTATGTGGCAATATATGACAAGCTGATACAAAGGATCTGGTGAAAAGTTTTCACAGACACATAATTGAAGTCCCAGAAGGAAAGGATGCAAACAGGATGCAAAGTGGAATTTGAAAAATTAATGTCTATGACTTATCCAAAATTTATGAAAGACATCGAATTACAAATAAATAAATCCCTATCAGCCCTAAGCAGGAGAAATTACTAGAAATAAATCCCTAAGAACATTATAATAAATCTGCTGGAAAATAAACACAGGAAGAAAATCTTGCAGGGACCCACTTTCAGAAGAGCAACAATCAGACTGGCAGGTGACGTCTTAACAGAAATGACAGTGCCCAGAAGACAACAGGACGACACCCCAGAAATGATGGAGGCACTAACAACCAGCCTACAATAATACACTCAGTAAAGTCACGCTGTAAAATGAAGGTATGAAAAGAAGACATTTTTGGGGCACCTGGGTGGCTCAGTCGGTTAGGTGACTGCCTTCAGCTCAGGTCATGATCCTGGAGTCCCAGAATCGAGTCCCGCATTGGGCTCCCTGCTCAGCAGGGAACCTGCTTCTCCCTCTGACCCTCCCCCCTCTCGTGCACTCACTCTCTCTCTCACTCTGTCAAATAAATAAATAAAATCTTAAAAAAAAAGACATTTTCACATAAACACTGACAGAACTGATCACCAGCACACGTGTGCCAAAAAAAATTAAAAATCACAGAGCCATCTTTAGGCAGAGGGAAAATGATCCCTAAAGGAAGTTCAAAGACGCAGAAAAGATTGAAAAGTGATTTAAAAAAAGGGGGGGGAAATGTATGAGTTTTGATTAAATGAAGCTATAAGAATAATAATGTCTTCTGAAGTTCAAAATATGTACACAGTGACGGTAGATGACGGTGATGGCTGTGGAGGGGGGGACGATAAGCCACTATGGGGCACAGGAAGAAAACGAGAACGATCACATGACTGGGGACAAGCAGGCACACGCAGGAGGAGCCCAGAGCACACGGGACAAGCAGCCCTGAAGAAGCTGGTGCATGGAATCCTGATACATCAGCGAGTTCATTCAGCAGAAACGGACTGAGGACCCCAGTGGAAAGACTGTCGGGGAGATACTCATCAGCTGAAACATCCAGTTAGCACACGGCCCAGCAAGTCCACTCACTGGTATGTGCCCAAGAGAAATGAAAACCTACGTCCACACAGCAGCTTGTACACGGACGTTCACAGCAACGGGATTCACAACTCCAGTGTCAGTGGGTGAGTGGATACGCAAAACGTGATCTATCCATACAGTGGAGTAACATTCAGCCACATAAAGGAATGAAGCACGGACGCCTGCTGCAACACTTGATGCTCAGTGACAGAAGCCACTTACGGAAGGCCATGTATCAGGGGCACCTGGCTGGCTCAGTGGGAGGGGCATGTGCTCCTGATCTCGGGGTCGGGAGTTCAAGCCCCATGTTGCGTGTAGACATTACTTAAATAAGTTTCTTAAAAAGACTTTATTTATTTATTTGAGAGAGAAAAAGAGAGAGTGCAAACGGGGAGGGGCAGAGGGGGAGGGAGAAGCAGACTCCCCACTGAGCGTGGAGCCTGACGTGGGACTCGATCCCACAACCCTGAGATGACGACCTGAGCGGAAACCAAGAGTCAGATGCTCAACTGAGTCACCCATGCACCTCTTTTAAATTTTTTAAAATATTTATTTAAGGTATGCCTGGGTGGCTCAGCCAGTGAAGCATCTGCCTTTGGCTCAGGTCATGATCTCAGGGTCCTGGGATCGAGCCCCACATTGGGCTCCCTGCTCCGTGGGGAGTCTGCTTGGGATTCTCTCCCTCTGCCTGCCACTTGCTCTTGCTCTACCGCTCTCTCTCTCTAAAATAAATAAATCTTTAAAAACAAATTTTTTTAAAAGGCCATTATATGATTTGCCTTATGTCAAATTCAGACCAAGCAAATGTATAGACAGTAGGTAGATTAGTGGTTGCCAGGGGCTGAGGGTATTAGAAGCAATGGGGAGTGAGTGCTAATGGATATGGGGTTTCTTTGGGGGAGATGAAATGCTCTAAACCTGATTGTGATGATAAACGCACCCCTCTGAGTATGCTAAAAACCACCCAACTGTACACATTCAATGGGTGAATGTGGTGAACGGGTGAATTCCATGGTATGTGAATTGTGTGTCTCAATAAAGCTGCTATAAAAGGCAAGGAACAGGGGCACCTGAGTGGCTCAGTTAAGTGTCCAACTCTTGGTTTTGGCTCCAGTCATGATCTCAACATTGAGGGATCAAGCCCCATGTCAGGCTCTGCACTCAGCACCAAGTCAGCTTGGGATTCTCTCCCTCTCCCGACTCACGCACACATTCTTTCTCGCTCTCAAATAAATAAAATCTTTTTTAAAAGGAGGGGGGTGAGAAACAAAGAAACAAACGAAGAAAGGAAGGGAGAAGAGAAAGGGCAGCGGCTGGTCCTCGGCAGATCCCAAACCCGGTTTTACTGTCACCAGCCCTCCAGCCCATAGACCTTTCCTGAAGCTCATGCAGAAGGAAGAACGAATGTGTTCCATAAACTCAGGTGACTAGAAATGTTACATCTCTTTGTGTTAATTAAAATCAAGTGACATCTGCCAGGAAATCGGATTTCAGTCTCCACACAACCCTTCTGCACATCACCTCCTGGCAGAGTGTGACCTTGCCATTAGAAATGTGGGCTTTAAGTCTAGTTAAGCCTGCCCCTCCATCCCTCCACTTCCTCCTGGGAATCTTGCACGGATTCATCTCGTCAGCAAACTCCTTGCTCTCCCCGCCGTGTGAGCCTGCTGCTCACCGCCCTTTAGATAGACAAGTCCTTTCAAGCATTCTTAATATATCTAAGATATATTCTTAGCCGGATGCACTGGTGTTCTAAGCCACGGCTGTGACACATGTTTCCATGAGCCCCGCTCACCGCCCCAGAATTATGTGGTTCCACTGAGGGGTTGTCCTAGGCCCACGGCACCACCGAGTGCTGAACAGGGCTCTGTGGCCGCCCCAGCCAAGCCCCAGTGTACTGTGGGCTCACATGTGCAAGAACATCACATTCCTTCATTTTCTTTAAATCACATTACGTTTTCAAGCCTTCTACCCCAAAACTGTTTCAAGAGATAGAAAACCTGTATAGACCCAAACCAGAGGTAAACTGAAATAAAGGTCAAAGATCTGTGCCTTCTTGGGACGCCTGGATGGCTCGGTTGATTAAGCATTTGCCTTCGGCTCAGGTTGTGATCTCAGGGTCCTGGGTAGAACCCCACGTCGGGCTCTCGGCTCAGGGGGGAACCCGCTTCTCCCTCTCCCTCTGCTCCTCCTCTCCCCTTTTCGCAAATAAAATCTTTAAAAATAAAAAAAAAGCAAAAAAACAAAAGCAACCCTCCATCCTGCTCAGGACTCTAAAACAATTTTCAGCGAACTAGAAATAGGAATAAAATCAGGTTAAAATCACCCGATGAAGGTGACCTACCAGAAATCTTCGTATCTCATAGTGAGACGCTTGACACGTCTTGGTTCAAGTCTGCTCTTCCTGCCGGCACGTTGCTCCTGGTGGCAGGTGTCTTTGGGGGAAGCCCCACCCTCCGCTGTGTGATGTTCCGGGTGCGTTCCCCCCTCGTTCACTCCATCCAGGCGGTTTTCCTGTCTGCGTCCATCAGAGCAGCGCACCCCACCCCTGCCAGGGGCACCTAGAGCAGCCCTTCGCTTCAGTGGGGAGACGGATGGGAAGAAGAGCATTGATTATTTCTCAAGAATGGCGTCCCACCACTTTCATCATCTACTCCAGGAGAGCCCCTGATCAGGGGCACAAACTAGGGCAGTTTACTGCAAGTTTATAAAGGCAAAAACTTGAAAATAACTCACGTGTGCCTGGGTGTTTTATAAGCAGCTAAATAAAATCTAGAAGCCTTTCCCAAACGACTAAGTAGCAGTTAAACTGAGTCGGAGTAGACCTATATTTTTTGACCAAGAAAAATCCTTAAGATATAATGTTGAGGGGTGCCTGGGTGGCTCGGTTGGGTGGGCTCGGTTGGGCAGGGAGTTGCTGGGCACTGAGGTTTCATGCCAGGCAGGCGGAAGGAAGGGCCCTGCGTGTCTGCGCATAGACAGCGGCGGCAAGCACTGCATCCGGGCTCCCTAACGCCACTGTCGTCCCACTCCCCCCTCCCCCCACGTGGCACACGTCCGTCCACGTGGCAAACACACAAGGCAGAGCAGGAGCCTGGGCAGGGGCCATGCCAGGGCAGGGGTGCAGGCCTGGACGCAGCTGGCGGCTTGCCTTCTGACGTGCCTCCCTCTTGGACTGCCTTCCAACCCCAGGTGCGGCAGTGGGTGGGCTACTGCCCCCAGTTTGACACCCTGTTCAACCACATGACAGGCCGGGAGACGCTGGTGGTATACGCCCGGATCCGGGGCATCCCTGAGAGCCACATCAGCGCCTGCGTGGAGCAGATTCTTGACAGCTTACTCATGTACGCGTACGTGGACAAGCTGGTGAAGACCTACAGGTGAGACTTTCCACCTTCACTGATGAGAAGTGCCCTGGCACTCCTCAGTGCAGGGAGTGCAGGCGGCGAACGTCAGCTCTGGGTTTGGGGTCACTGCGCAGTCCATATGTCACTGTGTGGATTTGTGGGAGGTGGCCCCCTCCTGTGGACGAACGGGTCCGTGGCCCGTGCTGCCCAGAGGCACTGCTTCCACTAGGCCCCGGGCAGGTAGGGGACTAAGGACAAGCAGGTAGCCTCACAGGTGTTATTGTCCTGCGCGTCGCAAAGGGCGGATTTTTGGTAGGCTCGTGTTTCAAGTGCGTTACCTTATCTCGCTGCGTCTGGGGCATCTGAACTGCTGATGTCTGGCTGCGAGGCTGGGCGTCTTCCTCTGTCCTCTGTGCTGCTGATAAGGGCCAGTCTCGTTAGCTTACACAGCAGGGCCAGTCCCAGGACTCCCTCGGGGGTGTGTGCAGCTCCCCCTGGAGGATGCTGGCACTATCCCACTCCTAGGACCAAGGAGTCAGAGATGCCCAGGCGGTAGGTGACTGCTGACCTTGGCTCTTCCCTCCCTGTTGGCTTTGGTTTCAGGCAGGTTTTTGTACTTCCTCGCATCCTTTCAAGATTAAATGAGTTAACACTTGCAAAGTTTAGAACAGCCCCGCGCACATTGTAAATGCTATGTGTTCATTCAAGAAAAGTTAGCTAAAATGGCTCTCTGTCCTTACAGCCCTAGAGACCGTAGAGACCCTCAAAGAAGACTCATAGACCACGTTCCCACCCTGGACTGACCCCTCTATCCACAGCCATGATCTATACACTGAGTGGACAGTCAAGTCACAATGCAACCTCATAGGAGGGTGGTGGGCATATTACTACAGCCCCACTCGGGCTGTGGGACACTTCCTCAACAGAGAACAGAAAGCCTTCGTGTGTGTGTGTGTGTGTGTGTGTGTGTGTGTGTGTGTGTAGGGGGGTTGGGCTACTGCTGATTATTAATTGCCTTTCACCCCAACCTTTCCCCCCCTGCTCCCAGTGGTGGCAACAAGCGGAAGCTGAGCACAGGGATCGCCCTGCTTGGAGAGCCTTCGGTCATCTCCCTGGATGAGCCATCCACTGGCATGGACCCCGTGGCCCCGCACCTGCTCTGGGACACTGTGGCACGGGCCCGAGAGTCCGGCAAGGCCATCATCATCACCTCCCACAGGTAGAGCCGGGGTCTTGGGGGGTCAGTGGAAGAGCCAGGACGAGGGCTGGCCGGGTGGGGCCGGGTGGACAGAAGACCTGTCAGCAGCTAGCTCAGACTCTGTGAGGAAAGTCGCCAGCTAGCCATGTGGGCCACCCTCTGAACATGGGAATCAGGAACAGTGCTATCCGGCCGTCGACACCGGCCCCTCTGCCTGAGCCTTTGACACGGAAGGCAGGCGTCGGCATCCCCCAGCCCCGTGTCAGGCCTCTGCCCCTCTCCCCAGCATGGAGGAATGCGAGGCCTTGTGCACCCGGCTGGCCATCATGGTGCAGGGTCAGTTCAAGTGCCTGGGCAGCCCACAGCACCTCAAGAGCAAGTTTGGCAGCGGCTACTCCCTGCGGGCCAAGGTCCAGAGTGACGGGCAGCAGGAGGCGCTGGAGGAGTTCAAGGCGTTTGTGAACCTGACCTTCCCAGGTGAGGGCCACTGCACAGAGGGCATCTGTGCCTCACCCCTGCCGAGTCCCCCATCCCTGGCCCCTGGGAAGAGGGCCGTGATTCCATGGTCCCAGGCCCTCCAGCCTGGCCTTCATGGGGACATGGTGTCTTCTTCATGCAGGCAGCATCCTGGAAAATGAGCACCAAGGGATGGTCCATTACCACCTGCCCAGGGATGACCTCAGCTGGGCCAAGGTGAGTGTACCTGCCCATCAGAGGGAGCAAACCTGTGATGTCACCGGCTTTCTGGGGTGACTTGTTTTCTTTTCTGCGTGAAAGATGCATTAAAAGCATCTCCTCTCTGCCAACCCCATGACAACATTCACGTGGATTTCATAAAACATAAGGATGTGTGCATGGGAAGGGGTCTCTGAGATCAGCTCCTCTTGCCCCCTCATTTCATAGAGAGGGAAGACGGTCCAGAGAGGGGACACCACATGCCCAGGGTCCCACAGCAAGCCAGAGATCCAGCTGGGGCTTCTGCCTGCTGGCACCATTCCCAGCCAGAGCCTTTCCCTGAGATCACAGACAGCTAACTTCCCTAGGACTGACTTCTTGGGAGGTGCTCTGGGCACAACTGAAAAAGAGATGGGTCTTTTGGGGGCTTCATCACACCCAAGACCCTCCCTCTTTCCACTCTCTGCTGCCTCCTCTCCCCTCCCTTGTGCCCCCTGTCCACAGTGGCCTCCTCCTTCCCAACAGGTATTTGACATTCTGGAGCAAGCCAAGATGAAGTTCATGCTGGACGACTACTCTCTCAACCAAGTCTCCCTGGAGGACATTTTCCTGAACTTTACCTGCTCTGTGCACCCAACCAAAGAGGAACACAAACAAGGGCAAGCAGAGCCAGCAGACTATTCATCAACCTCTCCACCTCCCTCCCAGCCTCCCTCTCCACTTTTCTCCCAGCCTCTCTCTCCACCTCCCTCCCAGCGTCCCTCTCTACTTTCCTCCCAGTCTCCGTCTCCTCTTCCCTCCCAGCCTCCTGCCCAGCCTCCCTCTCCACCTCCCTCCCAACCTCCCTCTCTACTTTCCTCCCAGTTTCCCTCTCCTCTTCCCTCCTAGCCTCCCTCTCCACTTGCGTCCTGGCCTCCCTCTCCAGCTGGCTCTCCTCCTCCCTCCCAGCCTCCCTCACCACTTCCCTCAGACATTTACTTGCTGTAATAAAGAGTGCAAAACCTGCCATAGGCTGCAAGGAGTACAAAGGCAGCCTGTAGACCCAGTGAACTCAGTTCAGAGACTGGGTGGCTCTCTGCCAGATTGGGCCCTCTCACCTTAGAGGCCTGGTGGAGAACCTAGTTCCATTTCAGTGGAAAAGGATCCCCTTGAGTCCCGCCTGGGTGGCTCCATGGCCTCATTGAGACCTGGCTGTGGAAGCAGCCTCAGAGAAACACCTGCCATGTCCTCTCAAGGTGTAGTGGCTTGGGGGTGACCATGGTTCTCATGATACTGTCCTTCTGAAGGCAAGAGAAAAGAGATTGATGAGTTTGCTAACCTGAGTCTCAATTTTTCAGTGTTTTAGTATTTCAGTATTTGGATTTGTGAGTCTCCATTTGTTCTCTGCCCACCCCCCCCGCCCCCACCCCAGTCCTTACAAATCTTAGGAGTGAGCCTGCATGTGACAGTACATCAACCCATGAAGTATTATTCAGATGAGTAACCTGAAACTTAAGAGACATTCATCAACTTTCACAGTCAACAGGGAGTGGAGCCAAGATTCAACTCACGTAGAGGTTCTCAAAGTGGGGTTCCTAAGCAGCAGCCAGAAACATGCTAGAAATTTCATCCAGAAACATGCTAGAAATTCAGATTCTTGGGCCCCACCCCAGACCTCCTGAACTGGAAATATTTGGGGTGAGACCCAGCAATCTGTGTTGTAAGGACCCCACATTAACAAGTACTTCTGATGCAGCTCAGGCATGAGAACTACAGAGGGCAGGGCTGTGTGCTCCAGGCCACAGCACGGGCCAGCCTCTGTGCACAGATGGATGTGGCTGCTCACCTTTGTCACAAGCACCCTCCTCTGGCGCATGCCCTGTCAGAGCCTTGCTCCAGCGTGCTCACGCCAGTCCCTTCTAAAAAGCCCCCTCTGCTCCTCCTTTGCAGGTAGTTCTCTCCCTCTTTTCCCAGCCAAGCTCCAGGAAAGTTGGTGTCTCCTGACCCTGACCAAACATCCTACCTGCCATCACCCCTCACCCAAAATTACAGCACTGCTCCACCCTTGGCTGCCACACGGCGGGTCTCTCCATCCTCTCTCCCTGTGCCTGCTCTGTGGCATTTCAGAGTCCTTCCCACAGCCTTTCTCCCTCACTCCCGCCTCTGTGCCCTGCTGTCCTTGAATCTTTCTCATTCACCCCCCACCCCATGTCTTCAACTGCCATCTTCCTCCAGCTGGGAACTTCCCCGACCCGACAGTCTCGAATTTTCCAGTGAGTTCTCACCCTCCTGCGTGGGTGTGTCCAGTGGGAAATGGGCTCTTCTCACCCTCTGGGAGTGGCTTGTTACCCTACGGGGCCCCCAGGGCTCTTCCTGCCAGGGCGATGGATGCAGGCAAGGGCCCACAGCATGGCCAAGAGAAGAACACTGGTTTTCTGAAAAATAAGAATACTTTACCTGCGAATAAAGGAAAAACGATGAGGACACAAAGAACCGGGGAGAGGACAGCTGAGGGACTTAAGAGAGCAACATGCTATTTTGGGCTCCCCAGGGGAGTGGGTGTGGTGACAAAGGTGCTACTGGAGTCCAGGCTGGAATGGCACACTTGTGCCCTGGGGGAGATCAGCAACAAAGTCACAGTGCACGGGAGGAGGAGGACAACACAGTAACAAAGCGGAGAACAGTAACCAAAGGTGTGAGGAAGGAGGAGAAACTGCAGAGTCCACCCTGGGTTCCTCCTCGTGCTTCTGGGTGGAACATGGGCCACCTGGGGAGCAGCCCCAAGCCCGCTGGGCTCCATCCACTCTGTTTCCTGTGCGCCCCACCTCGGCCCCTCCTTCAACCCCAAGCCCAGGGCCTGGTCCCTGGCCTCTTTAACAAGGGGCCTCTCACGCCCCGTGTGTGGCCGTCCGTGTACTTCTGTTTCCTGCTGCAGAATGGCAGTGTGGCTCTCGCGTGTGCGCCCGGCTGCCCAGAAGGGACCGACGACCCTGAGGACCAGGCCGGAGGGGAAGGGAGGGCTGACTGGGGGCGCGCAGGGGTGAGGAGAGCGTCTCCGGGAAAACTACCGTGTCCTCCTCCGTCCAGCGCTTCTCCCGTGAAAGACGGGCCGGAGGGCACTGCCCAGTCCCTGACGGACACCGTGCTTGGGGTGGCTGGGGGCAGCCAGTGAAGTAGGCTCCTGGCGGGGCAGTGAGGATACAGCGGGGACACACAGGGGCGACGTCCTGCCCGCGGGACGCCTGAGACACGATTCGCGGGAAGAAGGCGCCGGCCGAGTCCCTGAAGGGGCTGCGTTCCGGTCCACGCCCCCCGTGGCTCGGCCGCCCGAGCAGCGGTGTCCTCGCCTGACGCGCGGGCGGGAGGCTGGGCGCGCGGCCTCGGGGTGAGGGCCAGGGGCGCGGTGGGTGCGCAAAGGCCTCCGCGGACGCCGCTCGCCGGGACCCGCGCCGCCGGAACAGCGGGGCCCAAGCGCACACACAGACGCCCCCACCAACCCGGCAGACGCCGCGCTCCCCCGGGGACCCCTCCCGCCCCGGCCGGGGGGCGGGGCAACCGCTCGGACTCCACCAATCAACGGCCGGCGTTCGAATTCGCGTCCTGGCGTGGCCAATCGCGAGCTCCCGGCGCGGGCGGGAGGGCGGGACCGGGGCCGGGGCCGGGCGGCCGGGCGGCTCGCGCCCCCCCCAGCCGGCCAATGGGAGGGCCGGGCGCATTTGAAAACTCAGGCGGGCGGTGGGGCGGATTTGCGCCTGCGCGGGGCGCGTGGGGCTGACGGCGGTCGGGGGCGCGGGCGGCGGAGTCGGCGGCGGCGATGGGGAGCGGCGGTGGTGAGTGCGGGGCGCGGGCGGCGGGTGAACACCGAGCTGGGCGGCCCGGGCTCTTCGGCCCCGCGTGCGGGGCGTCCCGGCGGCGCCCGCCCGGCGCGCGGTTTAAATGCCCGGTGGCGCCGCGGGTGCGGGTGGGCTTGGCGTGAACGCCCCGCGCGGGGCCCGGCACCTGTCGCGGGCGGCGAGTACCGCGTCCGGCCTAGAGCGAGGGGACGAGCACAGTGTGGCGGTCACATCCAGGTACTCTGTGGGCCTCGGTTGCCCCGCGCGGCCCGTTAATTGGTGGTAGGCGACTCCTGTAAGGAGCCGGGCAGGGTAGGAAGGCCTGCGGAGGGGGTCCTGCGGGCGGGCGGCGGGGACGAGCGGGGAGGAAGCCAAGTGAGCGGCGCGAGGGGCTCCTGCTGAGTCGTTCTGGTGCGAGTAGGAGCGGAGATGGGCAGGGGTCCGAGGGCAGAACCGTCATCCGCGTTCGCCGCTCTTGCCCCAGTAGCCAAGTTCCATGATCACCTGCTATTCGCCGTAAGTATTTACTGGATCTTTGAATGAATGATGGTGTCTGCCGGAATTCCCGGACCACTACTCCCTTTATTTAATCTTTGTGTGGGACTAGAAATGCGGCCGGTTCCTTCTGTGGGGAAGGCACAGTGACTGTTCCGTCGTCTTCAGATACAACTTTGCACGTCAGCCCAGCTTCTTTCCTAACATCACCGAGACCATTCTGCTGTTCTTTTTCAGTGATCCACTGTCGGTGTGCCAAGTGTTTCTGTTACCCTACAAAGCGAAGAATAAGGAGGAGACCCCGAAACCTAACCATCTTGAGCCTCCCTGAAGATGTGCTCTTTCATATCCTGAAATGGCTTTCTGTCGGGGACATCCTGGCTGTCCGAGCTGTAAGTTGCCAGATGAAAGTGCGTCGGCCCTGTAGCTTGTTGACCTAACTTGTTGGTTTTCCCATCACTGTTTCGTGTTCTTAAATGTGAGAATAAAATTTTGGCTATGAAAGAGGGCAGAGGCTACAAGGATGATGTTGTTACTAGATGTTTGAGGTTGTTGCGATCAAAGCTGAAACATAGTGCGGTATGTTTTGAGTCTGTTGCGATGTCTGACAGAGAAAGTACCCTGTTGTGGCAGTGAAATTCTCACCTCTTAAGAAACAAGATAGTATATTAGGGAAAACAAAAACACATTCTCGAGGACAGATTGCATGTAATGTCGAGCCCTAAAAGGGACCCTGGGAGTTAGTTTGCAGATATTCAACTGCACCTTCGTTCAGAGTGACTTACTCAAGGGCATACAGCAAATTGGTGGGAAAACTCCAACAGGAACTTGTTTCTCTGACTCCCAGAGCCGCCTCCATTGTGGTCGTAATATCCATGGGTGCTGAGTTTTCAATGGCAATGGGAACTTTAGCCCTTGAAATACTCACCTGTGCTCAGGGCTCCCAGCTGGGGCACTCCTGCCTCTGACCAGGATGATATTGAGTTTATTGGTCTTTTTCTAGAGCCTCTGTTGACCTCCAGACTCCAGCCGTTTTCCCACTAGCAAGGACCTAGGTAGAGGAGCACAAGATAAAATTCTGTTCTACTTGCTCCTGTTAGAGTCCGTTTCCCCGATCATTATAGGGTATACACCCTTACAGGGGTGTCACCCCCTCTTTCTCAAGGTGGATGCTTATTTTGCCTTCTGGCACCACTGTCCCCACCTTTAGAGCCTCCGAGAAACTTGTTTCTTCCCTCTCTCAAAGCAGCTATTACTTTGATACACAGGGGGCCTTTCCCCCTGGCGTGGGTTGGGAGACAGGAGGCCCTCCATCCGTCTATGTCCCATGTTCAAGGGCTCCAGGTGTGGGGCTTCTGGGAGGTCCCTTGATAATGCACCCCCCCCCGCTTCCGTTGTTCTGCAGGTGCACTCCCACCTGAAGTACCTGGTGGACAACCATGCCAGCGTGTGGGCATGTGCCAGCTTCCAGGAGCTGTGGCCTTCTCCAAGGAACCTGAAGCTCTTTGAAAGGTATCTGCACCTGACAACAGCTCCATTTTCTCCCATCTCTGGGCCTCCCTGTTATGCCAGCCTGTGTCC